ATAACAATAACAATAACAATAATATTGCTGCTGATTGACAAGCTAATCCTAAAGAATTCAAAGAAAAGACGAACCAACCTGTTCAAGGCTTGAATAGTCTATAAGAAAGCATTTGATTCAGTTCCCCATAGCTGGATCAAGAAATGCCTGAAAATCTTTGGCATCAGCAGAAACATTCAAAAATTCATGGAAACTTCAATGAACCTCTGGAAAACAAAGCTTATAGCTAATGAAGTAGTACTGGGTGAAGCTCAAATTAAATGAGGCATTTTCCAGGGCGATTCCCTTTCACCCCGACAGTACAGTAGAAGCCATTTTAAGGCAGTACAGGCTGTATATTAACAGATTCCCCCCCCCCTCACAGTATTTGTTTCCAGAGAGTAAGTCATTTAGCTAGCCACACCCTTACTGGTTTAGGGTTAGGGTTTCGGACGTGGCCCTGAAAAAACAGAGCAAAAGAGCACATCGTCACCGTGTGGACAGCGGACGCAAAACCAGCATGGCGGGAGATGAGAATCAATTAGAGGTTTAGTGCTCCAAGCGACGTAAATACTTCTCTGCTTTCTCAACAGCATCAGAATACAAAAACACCCCATGATGTATGGCTCCGGCAACTTTTTGGAGTTTAAAACTCACCTTTAGCCAATAAGGCTGGAGTTCACAGGCCATTTTTACATCCCGTAACGCTTCCTCGTAGCATTTCAAAGTAGACTTGATTTGCGACCGGTTGCAATACAGCAAATGATCAGAAGGAGCTGTAAAACAGTGGTAAACATCGACTTAAATTGGTGGATAAACCTATTTATTTAAAATGGACGCCTAACATCAAAAACGTCATCAAAAAAGTACAACAAAGAATGTTTTTCCTGCGCCAACTCAGAAAACTCAAATTTCCCAAAGAGCTGCTGATACAAAAAGAGGACCGTGAAAATATTTACAGACAAACACCACCACCCCCCCGCCCTCCTGGACACAAATTGTTTCAACTCCCACCCTCTAAAACACTATAGGGCTCTGCACACCCGACCACCTAGATACAAGGGCCGTTTTCCCCCAAATGCCGTCACTCTGCTCAACAAATAATCCCCACAATACTGTCAAATTATTTACCAAGACTGTATTACTATTACTATTATTCTTCTCATCCTTCCTAATACCTATCTCTTCCCACTTATGACTGTAACTATGTTGCTTGTATCTTTACAATCGATATTGTTTCCTAGTACGATTTGATTGCTTATTAGTAACCTATGGCGATCACTAAGTGTTGTATCTTCTGATTCTTGATGAATGTATTTTTTTTTCTTTATGTGAACTGAGAGCTTATGCATCAAAGACAAATTCCTTGTGTGTCCAAACCCACTTGGCCGATAAAGAATTCTATTCTATTCTACTCCTCTTATTCGTTCTCGCTCAGGGCTATTCCACATTTTGGGCTTCCAGGGAATATATCCTTAAAGGAAATATTCAGGGGAAAAAATCTTTTCCTGGAGATTTAAAATTGTAAAAAAGTTTTTTTAAATGAACCAGAGAAGTGCTTGCTGGCTTTATTCTCCCTCTCCACTCCACCCTGGTGTTCCTCTAAGGGACTGCTGTTCTAAGCCATCCCATTTCTCTTATATAAGCACTTTGAGGGTTGCATAAATGTGTGAAATGCCAAAGCAAAACAGCACCATAACAATCCCGGAAGCCAGAAGGGGGTGGGGGTGGGGGGAGAGAAAGAAAGAGACAGACAAAAAAGGAAAGCAATGTTGCAACTGCTACACAAAAAGGGGGGGAAAACATCGTAAAACTCTTTGTGCATACCTAAGTTTCACACACAGACAAAAATGCCAAACTGTCCGAATTTTCACGTTGTCCAATTTTTAGGGATGCTTTCCAAGTGTCAGGGAAATTCAAAGTTGGTATTTGCTGGAAAGCACCCTGTTTTTTAAAAAAACCCAGATATTCTCTGATTTTTACAACTTTCTTGCTACCATTAAAAGACCCCCCCCCCCCCAACTCATCTGGACGGTCCCGGCTGAGGTTGGAAACCCGAGAGCAACGGACAGAGGAGGTCATTTCTGACCGTTTCCGCAAGGGTAGCCATCTTAGATTGCCGCAGTACAGCCAGAGTGAATGGTAGATGCTCAAGCCAGAAAGCTTCGGTCACAAGTGAGAAATCTCACAACAGAGAGGGATGGTGGGTTTGAAAAGCTGCACCAAGACCCCCCTCCCCAATTCGATTTGTGGTCCTGTGGTTTTCATTGTGGGTCTATTCCTGGCCGGAGAAGATGGGAATGAAAGACAGCAATGCGGTGTGACAAGCTCCAGTAATTCTCTTTTAAAGTACCGTTAACATTTGTGTGTCTGGATATTTTTTTCCCCCATCCTTTGCAGGATTATGATCGGAAACTTCGGAAACGAAATGGCTCACTCACTAAAATCTTTGGGGCCCCTCTGCCATTTTTTACAACCTAGACCAGGGCAAACACTTCTGTTGCTAAGTGAGAAACAGGTAACACTTGCCCCGTTTCTAATAAGCCGCAGTCCTTAAACGAGTCACAGTCGTTAAACGAATCTGGCTTCCCCAACTTGGCTTGTTAGAAAGTCAAAAAAGGGGATCCCAGAACCCACCACCCCAGGTGACACTGCAACTGCCATGAATTGTGAGTCAGCCTCCAAATATAAATCACACAACTGTGGGAATGCTTCCATGGTCGTAAGTGTGAAAAATAGTCATAAGTCATTTTATTTTTCAATGCTGTTGTAACTTCGGTCACTAAGCGAACTCTTTGTTAAGTCAAGGGTGGCCTGCATTTAACGCCACAATCTGGCACAACCGATCTTAAAAACCCTCCTTTTATCCGTCGATCCAATAGACAGTAAATCCCACAAGGGAGAAGATTTGCAGGTTGGAACAAGGGGCCCTTTTGTGCTCTCTGAGCTTGGTGAGATTTTTTGGGGTGGGGTTAGAGGTTCGGGTAATCAAACGTTTGCAAGAAGGGAATGGATAGGTTAAGGTGAAAGATAAAGGGTAAAGAAGATGCAAAATATTTTTTAACATGGGATTTGTTTGTATCCATGATTAGATATTAGAAGTAGAAATTAGAAGCTGGACTAATGCCAATATGCAGAAGTAAATATTATTATTATGCATTAGAAAATTGATTCAGACGATACACTATTTACTAAGCACTTACGTATGTAAAAGAAAAATCTGTATATATGTAAAGAGGAATCTTTATATCATGTATGTATGTATGCATGTATGTATAAAGGTTCCCCTCATGCTTCTTGTTCCAGACTCTGGGGGGGGTGTGCTCATCTCTGTTTCAAAGCCAAAGAGCCAGCGCTGTCCAAAGACGTCTCTGTGGTCATGTGGCTGGCATGACTCAATGCCAAAGGCGCACGGAACGCTGTTCCCTTCCCACCAAAGGGGGTTCCTATTTTTTCTACTTGCATTTTTTACGTGCTTTCGAACTGCTAGGCTGGCAGAAGCTGGGACAAGTCACAGGAGCTCACTCCGTTACATGATGCTAGGGATTCGAACCGCTGAACTGCCCACCTTTCTGATCAACCAGCTCAGTGTCTTAGCCACCTAGCCACACACAGACATCTGCGAGAAACCCACCAAGCTCAGAAAGCAACCGAAGATTTCCGATCCGCCAGTTGAAAGCCTGAGTGGGGCAGGTTGGGGAAAATGTGCCAACTGGAGAAGAAACATCTGGCCAGCCAGAGACCTTGGAGGAAGGAATCAACAACAGGTTGTTGTAGGACACGGGGCAGAGTGACCTGCTGTTGATGTTTGAGGTCTCAAGGTCTTCTCTTCTTCCCCCACCCCTAGTTATACAACTGTTAACGAGGGGGCAAGACACTCGGTCCAAGCCAGCTTATGCAACCAGCTGTCCTCCTGACCTATTTGGGGTTCGGATTTAAAGAGAACAGACTGCAATTCAACTCTGGGCAAAGAAAAACCCATTTCACAGATGTGGGGAATTAGTAGCAACAGCCTCCTTCTGCTGGTGCCAGACACTAACAAGATGCATTGATTTGCTCACACCTACAGTACGCGACACGGAATCATGGCTTATTGGGAAGAATAGAACAGAACAACAGAGTTGGGGGGGACCTTGGAGGTCTTCTAGTCCATCCCCCTGCTTAGGCAGGAAACCCTATACCACTTCAGAGAAATTGTTCCAACCTCTTCTTATATATATATATATATATATATATATATATATATATA